CCCATCCCCATGGATGGGTGCCACATCTATTTTCGTCCTGCTCCTATTTTGCTTCCATCCTGCTCCATCCTGATTCCATCCCGCTCCCATCCTGCTCCTATCCTGATTCCATCCCGCTCCCATCCTGTTCCATCCCGCTGAGCTGTGGGTGGCTGAGCCAGCCCATCCCCATGGATCCACTCCACATGGATGGATGGGTGCCACATCCGCTCCCGTCTGCGTCCTCGCCACAGCCAAGCTGGCGTGGGGAAGGAAGGAGTGGTGAAAATCCCACATTTCCTCTGGCAAATCCCACTGTGCTGGGCTGGGACTTACCTGGAGTGGCAGAGTGAGGGCACAGCAGGACACCCGCGTGGGGCAAATGCCAACTGTGCCCCTCCAGCTTGGAAAAACCATCACAGAGCCCACTGCTCATGCAGGATGACACTGAAACCATTGCAGGGATCTATTAAAAATGTATGGATGACCTGTATGGCAAAGGCCAACAGGCTTTGGAGTGTTCTGTGCAGCTGCTCCGGGGGCCAGAGTGTTCCTCAGCAAAGGTGAAGCTATTTGTGGTCTCTGAGCCTCAGGGATGAACCAGCAGCACCCTGACCTCCCCAGGACGTGCTCAGGGAGGTGTGAGGAGCAGGGAAGTGAAGGACAAGGTTTGGAGGAGAAAAGAGCAAACCTGAGCTCTGCTGAGCCCGGTCAGCTCCCATTAAGCTGTGCCTGCTGCAGGGAGTGTCAGCTCTCAGTGGGTGTTAATTCACCTGGGCTGCATGTGGAGGAGGTTGAAGACCTCTCTGTGCCCTGAGGCAGGAGAAGAGAAGCCTTAGACAAGCATGGCTGGGCTGCCAAGCTACTTCTATTCCAGTTCTCCAGCCTGCCCTTCGAGCTGAGCAGCAGAATGGTTGCAAGGAGCAGAGAGAGGGATGACTCGTAGGGCTCATGCAAAATTAATCCCATTTATTCCACTAGTGCCTAACCCCAGCTGCAAATAATCACAAAAGAGCGTTTCTGTAATGACAGACCAATAGCTGAGTCTGCTGAGTAAAATTTTGGGAGGCTCCTTAGGCTCTTTCTCAGGTGTGGGAAGGGAGAGACACACTCTGAGCATCTCGCCCAGGCTGCTGCCCTCAAACGCCTCTGGAACGTTTCTGCTCCTCCCTGAAGCACAGGAAAATCACCTCCTCACGTGCCTCTGCTCAGAGATGCCTCAAATGAGCCGCTGTGCTATTCTGGGGTGGATTTCACAAGCCCAGAGTGGGTATTTGTTGCCTGGCCAGATTTGTAGGGAGCGAGCCTGAGGTCCCTGACAGCCCCAGCAGCTGAGATCTGCCTGCCTTCCCTCATTAGCATATTATGCCCTTGATCCAGCAAAGTACTTTGGCACATGATTAGGTTTCAATGAGCCTGTTGGAGCTCAGGCTGAAGCATGTACAGAAGTGCTCTAATGAACTCAGGCCCAAGGATAGTGCCTCTTAAATTCCCTCAGCTCCATCCATCAGCTGCAGTCCTCAAACGTCACCTGAAAATGCTTTTTTACCTCCTTTCTCAGCCTGAAACCTCATTTTCACCAAGATAATGTGAGACAGATACCTGTGGCTGTCTGGGGGAAAAGAGTTATTTTTAGCAGTTGAAAAAGGAAATTAATACAAATGAAGCTTCCAGTGCTGCTCTTGTCATCCTGTTTGAGGAGCTGATTCACAATTAAACCAGAGTCACGGGGAGCCAGTATTGCCTGATGACCTCAGTGAGGTTTGTGAGGTCAAATCCAAGGTTTAAACCCTGCTCAAGCTTCCCTGTGGATCTGCCTTTCCTGGCAGCTCCAAAAGGGCTGTGCTGAGCCCAGCTCTGGGGTTTCAGCTGGGGTGAACCTTCAGCACAAACCGATGGAGCAGCAGCAAGGGGAATCTTGAGGGAGATTTTCAAGGTCTAGGGGGAAAATCAGCAGAGAAATGGACTCAGCTGATGGTTCAGGAAATGAAAAGTTCATCTGATAAGGTTTGCAGGAGGCAGTGATGGCTGAGATGTCACAGACCCCCTGTACACACCTGGGAGTGACCATCAGAGGAACAAAAAGAGCTGTGAAATCTGGAAATCAGCACTGGCAGAGAGGAAGGGTTGGCAGGAAACCAGAAATGGTTTCACCAGCAGAGGAGGAAGTTGTCCCCGATAACAGGGCCAGAGCAAATAAACAACTAAATCAATCAATCAAATGCTGTTTGGAGATCAAACACAACCTGGTGACGAGCAGGACTGAGGTGATGTCTGGGTTTGGGTGCAGTCCAGGCTCTGGGCTCAGCCCTGCCACGTGTGAGGCTGGAAGGGCTCAGGGCAGCCAAGGATGAGCTCAGACACCTCGAGTGTCAAAGCACGGGCTGAACACTCTGTGCAGCCCGAGCAGCCCTGGCTGCCCTGCCCTCCCCTCTTTAACCTGTCAGGGTGCCCAGCACTCCTCCCCAGCCACAGGAACTGCAGTTCCTACACAGATCCTCATCCCCATGAGCATAGGTGGATGGCAGCTCTGAGCCTGAAAATTCCAAAAGGTTCTGCTTGGGGATTTCCCAGAAGATGCTCTAATTGCTTTGTGCACACACACGTGCAGCTGATGCCTTGCAACATCATTTCCACGGGTGAATTCCACGCCTGCTCCTTGGAAAAGCCAAACACAATCACCTCCTTGACACACTGTGCTGCTTCCTCTGCTGCCAGGGAGAAACCAGGAGCTGCAATTCTCCCCCATCACAAAGCCAAGGTTAGAATGCCAGCTGAGGGAAGGAGTTTTCAGGATTGAAATCCTCCCTGGGAAGCTGGAGGCTCTGCCCTGCAGTTGTTTGCACCTCCAGGGATTATCAGTTCAGCCTCCATCAGGATCAGATGTCTGGCACTAAGAGCCTGTTCCTTATTTTGGGGTTTTTCATGTAGGTTAGCGTGGGAGTGAGATGCAGCCAGATTAGCAGGCAGGTAACATATCCCACAACACATGCCCAGAAATCCTGCTCCTCCCTCACTTTTTCTCCATTGGCAGCCAGAGAGCTGCATTAAAAAAAACCCCACTGAGCACTTCCACCCTCCTGATGTTATCCCAGGCCTCCCATTCCCAACTCCTGCCCCTCAGCAGAGGGCATTGGGTCAAATCCTGATTGTTCAGAGTGGATGAGGAGCTCTGGGAGCACCTCTGAGCTGTTCATAAATTCTGCTGCCTCTCAGGAGCAAACACACCCAGGGCGTTATTGCTGCGAGGAAGAAAAGCCTGACTTGGGATTATTTTTAGCAGCCTCTGACAACCCAAAGAATTGTTTTAGGGCTGAATGTTTCCTGGCTGGCTTTATTGTCCTCAGCACATGGGGAAATCAGTTAAGTGGAGGTTTAATATTGTTAGAGGGAATTAATACAGCAGCTTTCCCCAAAGCAGCAGGATGAAAATTCTTTTGTCATGCACGGCACAGGCCAATATAGCATTAGGGGATGGGGTTTAATTATATATCCAGCACAGGAGCCAGCTCATATTTGCAAGAGAAGAGCACAATTTCACATGAAACAGCATTTCTTCACTGAAATCTATTATCTGGAAAATTCCTTGTTATTGGGGATGTTTCCCTAATGAGATTTTTTGATCTTTTTGGACAGCAGACTATTAAAAACTAATCAAGAGGATGTCAATGTTAGGCAGAAAACCACTGAGTGTCATAGGCAGAAAACCACTGAGTGTCATCTCTGTGCTACCTGCTGGTGACAGCTTGCAGGGTTTTACTTGACCTTTTCAATACCACCCTGCCTAGGAAAGCTTGGCTTTGGGCTTTTCATTCTCTCTGCTCTCCTGTTGCTGAGTCTGCTCTGAAACTGCTTGTGCCAACAGAATGAAAAAAGGGGATTTTTTTTTTAAAGTTTTTAAATTTTTTTTTTTAGAGATATGGTTCAATATTGATGCTTTGATCTCAGCACTTTTCCCTTGACCTCAGGCCAGGCTCTCCTCTCAGAAAACACTTAAGAGATTTCTCCTCCTGCCTGCTGCTGATAATTCCCCACTACACCCACAGGGACAGCTACACATGGAGAAACCATCCCCAGGGGTCTTCCCTGGAAACCAAGGCTCAGCTGAGGTTTCCACCCCACCAAACCAAAGCACTTTTGCCAGCAGGGGCCAAGCGTTACCTTTTCTAGGAGTTGTCTCAGCTGCTTTGTCCTGGCATCACGCGAGCACATCGTCTGCTGAGGTGCCACCACTGTGCATATACAACGTCCCTCGCTGTCCTGGGCAGAGCTGTACACCTGCCAGCTTTCCTCTGGGTTGGTAGGCAACACCTAATTAACACAGGGAGAGACGGGTTAATGAACCAGGGGAGGCCTGGCAGGGCTGGGGGAGGTGAAGGGGGATGAGGACGTGGCAGGGAGTGGAGGCTCCTCCGAGGGCCCAGCTGGCAAAATTCACTTGGAATGCAAAAATATGGATTGGGGAGGAATCAGGGAAGGGTCTGAAAAGGAGAGCAAGAGCTGAAAGCACGAAGGCAACGCGAGTGGGAAAGCGTGGACAGGGAAACAGTGAAAATTCCGGGTGCCAGGGTGGGGAGCCCTGCCCTGCTGCGGCGACAGAGCTGGTCCTGAGCAGCGGGACAGGGACGTGCCCGAGCCACCAGGAGGGCACAGCGTCCTGCCGAGGGCTGAGCTCGCTGCAGAGCCCGCCCGGCCCCGGCTCCGGCAGCCGGAGACGCGCTCGGCTGAGGGCACGGGCACCGGGAGGGACGGACAGACACCCCGAGGTCTGGACACCCCGAGGGACAGACACCCTGAGGGACAGACACCGCGAGGGACGGACATCCCGAGGGACGGACACCCCGAAGGACAGACACCCCGAGGGACAGACACCCTGAGGGACAGACACCGCGAGGGACGGACACCCCGAGGGACGGACACCCCGAGGGATGGACACCCCGGGGTACAGACACCCTGGGGGACAGACACCCCGGGGCACAGACACCCCGAAGGACAGACACCCCGAAGGACAGACACCCCGAGGTACAGACACCCCGGGGCACAGACACGGCACCCGGAGATATGGACACCCCGAGGCACGGACACGACACCCCGATTCCGTCCCCCCTCTCTCTGCAGCTCCCCGGGCACGAGGAGCTTCCCCCTGAATGGCCTCGCTCCGCTGCAGGCAGGGGCAGCCCCGAGCCCAGCCCGTGCAGAGCCCAGCAGGGATGGGATGCAGTCCTGCGAGCCCGCCCCAAACACAGCGCATTGCCCTCTCCGCTCTGAATTTTCCTTCGGTTTTACAGCATAATCCATTATTTAATCCCAGCCCAGCCTCGGAGCACTTTGAAGGTGTCACCGTGTCCCCAACCAGAGGGGAAACAATTCTTTCCGCCGCTTCACTACAGAACAAATCACCTTGCAAATGCCCACGGTGACAGACATGCCCAGGCAGACGCACAATTGGATTCCCTGGCTAAAACAAGCGGGGGGAAAAAAAATAAGAATAATAAATGGACCTCATAAACCGTGACAACGTGGAAAAAAAATTTCTAGTTTCATTGACTGAGCAGCACAACCACTACACGGAATGCTCCGAGAGCAGCAGAGCTGCAGCAGAGGCGCTGTCAGAAAGCACGAGCAGGAGGAGAAAGGTGCCCGATTTTCCGTGCTCAGGGAAGACAGACCGACAGACTGGAACGGTTTTCCCAGCCATTCCCAAAGCGGGAAGCTCAGGCACGGCCGCAGCTCTCCAGCAGAGCGGGGACAGGGGATGCCCAGCCCCGCACGGCTGCAGCTCCATCGCAGCGAGGGCGGATCGGGGAGGGAGGGCAGCGGAGGAGCCCCCCGGGACTCGCAGCCGCTCTCCCGGCGCCTTTTGCAGCGGCCACGAGGGAAACTTCGCATCCCTTTGGCTGCAGGGACCGTGCGGGGAGGCAGCCGAGTCGCCCTCAGGCAGGAACGAGGGATGGCTGAACTCGAGGAGAGGAGGGGAGAGGGAGAGACGCTTCCCGCACCGGCACCCCCATCTCCTGCCGGCACCCCCTGTCCCCTCAGCGCCACATCCCCGCTCCCGCAGCACCGCGGGGACACTTGGCCGCGATGTCCCCGAGGGGCGGCGAGGCTGCCCCGACCGCGGGGTGCTGCGGGGGGGACCCTGCCGGCCACGGGGACACCTGGGCAAGGAGAGATGTGACAGCCGGGCGGGGAGGGACTGGGCGGCGGCGGGGAGAAGCCGCAGGGATGCTCCGGGATGCGGGAGCGCTCCGGGGAGCTGGGATGCCCCGGGATCGGGGACACTTCAGGGAGCTGGGATGCTCCGGCAGGCTGGCATGCCCCGGGATGAGGGATGCTCCAGGATGCGGAGACGCTCCGGGATGCGGGAACGCTCCAGGATGCGGGGATGCTCCGGGAGGCTGCGATGCCCCGGGATCGGGGACACTCCGGGGAGCTGGGATGCTCCGGGATGCAGAGACGCTCCGGGATGCGGGGATGCCTCGGGATGGGGCATGCCCTGGGATGCTCCGGGAGGCTGGCATGCCCCGGGCAGCCCTCCCCGTGCCCTGCAGCCCCCCGCACTTACTCCCGTGCTGCGGTCCAAGGTGCCGCCCGTGGCCGCCGTGAGTTTGGTGGTGTTGAGCCCCACGAGGGAGGGCAGCGTCTGCGACATCCAGTTGGTGATCATGGCCATGGTGCTGAGGACGACTCCAATCTTGAGTAAAGGCACAGACATGTCTGCGGGGGGGGCGGCAGGCACCCTTCATTCTGCACCGGCGCCGGGCTCCATGCCGCTGGGTTCGGGCTGCGCCAGCCGCCCGGCCGCCGCCGCCGCTCGCCGCCGGCCCATCGTCCTCCTCCTCCTCCTCCTCCTCCGCCGCCCCGCCGCCCTGCCCGGTGCTGCCGCTGTGCCCGCTGTGCCCGCTGTGCCCCGGTGCAGCCCGAGCGAGCGGGGCTGGCTCCCTGCGCCCGCCGCCGCCGGGCGCGCCCCAGCCCGAGCCAGCGGCTGCGGGAGGCGGAACGGGGCGGGACGGGAGCGGCCAACGAGCCGGGGACACTGCGGTGGGCGACACCGGGAGAGGGAGGGGACAGCGGAGTGCCGGCAGGGAGGGGAGGTTTGGGGAGGAGGGAGTGGGAGGGGAGGTTTGGGGAAAGGGGAGGGGAGGGATGGGAGGAGGAAGAGAGACGGGGAGAAAAGGTTTGGGGAGAGAAGATGTGGGGATAAAAGATCTGGGAAAGAAGAAGCGAATGGAAGGAGAGAATAAAAAATGATGGGGAGGAAATATTTGGGACAGGGAAGTGGAGGGAAGGAGAGAAAAAAGATTCAGGGAGAAAAGATTTGGGGAGAAAGGAAAGAACTGGGGAGAGGGGGAGAGATTGAGCCGAGGCAAACAGGCATGGGGAAGGAAGAGAAAGGGAGGGAGGGAAGATGTGAGGAGATGAATTGGGTGGGGGAGAGGAACGAGGAGAGCGGAAAAATTGGGGAGGAGGTGGAAGGGGTTTTGCGAGGGTGGTGGAAGGGGTTTGGGGGTGAGTGGAAGGGATTTTGGGGAGCAGGAAGAGGTTTTGGGGAGCAGGAAGGGATTTTGCGGGGAGCAGGAAGGGGTTTTGGGGGGAGCAGGAAGGGATTTTGGGGTGGTGAGTGGAAGGGATTTTGGGAGCAGGAAGGGGTTTTGGGGGGAGCAGGAAGGGATTTTGGGGTGGTGAGTGGAAGGGATTTTGGGAGCAGGAAGGGATTTTGGGGTGGGTGAGTGGAAGGGATTTTGGGGGGAGCAGGAAGGGATTTTTGGGGGTGCGGCTCCCCCGCTGCGGCGCCGTGGCGCCCTCTGGCGGCTGCGGGCGGCGCTGCGGGCCGGGGTCGCTCGGTGGTCGCGGGGACAGCGGGGACACGGCGGGGACAGGGGGGACGAGGAGCCGGAGCGGTTCACCGCGGTGCGGCACCCCTCTCGCACAGACCCGCGGGCTGGGGGACCCCTGCGGGTCCCCTGCGGTCCCCAAGCGGGCTGTCAGAGCATCCCCGCAGCCCTGATTGTCACCTCGCCCATGACAGCACAGGATAAAGCACAGCTCACTGCCAGCCCTGTTCTCGCCTCGTTCCCAGCGCAGGAATTCGCTGCCGAGGGATGCAAAGGGCACACGGCCCGTCGGGCCAGCCTGGAATGTCACCCGGGCTTGGTCGCCACTCAGGTGTCCCCAAGCCACCTGCAGAACTGCCTCGGTGACTTCAGAAGCCAAATGTCCGACCAGCAGAGCTCCACAGCTCCTGCATCCTTCCCTCAGAGAGCCTCAGAACTCCCTGCGCAGAGCAAGAAATGAATCCCCTGTCCCTCTGCAGAGGACAGAAGTGACACCCCTGCCTTGTGGCACAGCCCCAACCTTGACACGGGTGCAGAGGAGCCTCAGCTGGACCTCATCCCACCTCACCAGGACCTGGTCCCAGCTCACCAGGACCTTGTCCCTCCTCACCAGGACCTGTCCCTCCTCACCAGGACCTCATCCCACCTCACCAGGGCCTGGTTCCCCCTCACCAGGAGTGGTCCCACCTCACCAGGACCTGGTCCCAGCTCACCAGGACCTTGTCCCACTTCACCAGGGCCTGGTTCCCCCTCACCAGGACCTTGTGTGGGCTCACCCCAGCGCAGCCGGGCTGGGCAGAGGGAGCAGGAGCAGGACAGCCCAGTGCAGCTGGTGCTGCAGACCTGGCAGCTCTGTGAAACAAAGCACATGGAGCAGTTCCACCAGGTGGAGAAATGGAGACCAGCTTGAGCAGGAGCGCTGCTGCCAGCTTGGATCCCGTCCCTGTGACAAACCCGTGGCACAGCAGGGCACGGGCAGCTGCTTTGTGCCAGGCTGCAGCAGCTGAACTCCCACCCCTGCCCTTGCTTCCCTCCATCCGTGTCACCTGCCCAGCTCCGGCCAGGTGAGGCAGGGCTGGGGCAGGAAGGAAATCTTGCTGTCCCTGAGTGTCACAGTGCCCCACTGCCCCCTGAATGTCACACTGAGGCAGGGCTGGGGTAAGGAAAGAAATCCTGCTGCCCCTGAATGCCACAGAGCCCTGCTGTCCCTGAATGTCACTGAATGTCACACTGAGGCAGGGCTGGGGTCAGGAAGGAAATCCTGCTGCCCCGGAATGCCACACTGCCCTGCTGCCCCCTGAATCCCTCACACAGAGCAGGGCTGGGGACAGGAAGGAAACTCTGCTGTCCCCTGAATGCCACAGTTCCCTGCTGCCCCCTGAATGCCACACTGAGGCAGGGCTGGGGTCAGGAAGGAGACCCTGCTGCCCCGGAATGCCACACTGCCCTGCTGCCCCCTGAATCCCTCACACAGAGCAGGGCTGGGGTCAGGAAGAAAATCCTGCTGCCCCTGAGTGTCACAGTGCCCCACTGTCCCCTGAATGTCACACTGAGCAGTGCTGGGGTCAGGAAGGAAATCCTGCTGCCCCGGAATGCCACACTGCCCTGCTGTCCCTGAATTCCACACACTGAGGCAGTGCTGGGGTAAGAAAGGAAATCCTGCTGTCCCTGAATGCCACAGTTCCCTGCTGTCCCTGAGTGTCACAGTGCCCCACTGCCCCCTGAATGTCACACTGAGGCAGGGCTGGGGTCAGGAAGGAGACCCTGCTGCCCCCGAGTGCCACAGTGCCCAGCTCTGGGCATGCACCAGCTGCCTGCACTCCATGGAACCAGCTTCCCCCAGCCCTCATGGGCATCCTGGTCCCTCCATGGCAAAGCTGTGGTGGTACCTCTATGGCCAGCAGCTGCTTTGGGCTGGGTGGGCAAGAACCCCCGGCAAAAAACCCCTTGGGATGGTTCCCCCTTTAGGAGGAATCCCAAATCCCTGCTCTCCCCCAGTGCTTTGCTGTGCTCAGGCCTTGGCTGCCCCTCTGATTTCCCACCATATCAAACACCCCAAGGTCCGTTTGGGAACTGGGTTTGTCAGGGAACTTTATCCCTCATATTTGTCTGCTCCAGACACAGACACGGGAATTAGTCCTGTGGATATTTCAGTATTTAAATTTAAGGATCTCTCCTGTGCCTTGTGCTGGATTTGCTCAGGATAAAAAATCCCTCCTGTGCCTTGCCCTGGATCCCAGCTGGGCTAAAACCTCATTTCCCAGCAGGGCAGGCAGGTGATTTCATTCATTTCTCGTCCCCTTCCAGTGCTGTGCCATGATTAAAGCTCCTCCAAACAGGGCCAGCAGAGCTCGGGGAGAGGAGCAGCAGCCACAGGTCCCTGCTGAGGGGGGGCCATCACTGGGAATGTTTTCCAGGCTTTGTGCAGGGGCAGGGAGGCAGAGCTGCTCTGTTTCCCTGCAAAAAAACCCCTTCATGTCAGCTGAAAGAGGAGCTGTACCTGTAATAATGGGGGGAAAAGAGAAATCCTGGGGGATTTTCTTTCTTTGTTTCTCTCTCCTGCTTGCAGTGTTTATGAAAGAATCAAAAGCAGCACTTTTGGGGGATTTTTTTTTAAATCTGCCGAGATTAAGGGAGTTAAGGAAGGGACATCAAAATGTTCTTCCAGACCTTTTTAAATTTTAAATTAAAGACCTGTGAAAATCCTTAATGCATTAATAACCTGCCAGGAGCAGGAGGTTCACAACCCTTCCCCAGGGCATGACCGTGGAAGCTGAAGCCACCCCAGCACAGATGTGGTGGAAAAAGAGGCTCCCAGGAGCTGCTGTTCCCCTTTTCTAGGGGTGCTGTGCAGAGGAGGAATTGGAGTTGCTGGTGTGTGATGAGGTGCAGTGAGCAGAAGAATTTTGTCACTTTTTGACCAGGTGACGTGCAAGCACAGAAACTCTGCCTTACCCTGATCATCTACCTGGGTTTGAAACCCCAACATGGCAAAAAATTGAATAAACTGACCAAAATTCCAATTCATTTCATGTGGGAGACCTGCCTTTCCTCATGCTGGAGCACAACACAGAAACACCAGCATGAAACCAGTAAGGAAGAGCCTCAGGTGCCCTGTCTGCCCTGATGGGGCTTTCCCCAGCTGGATACTTGTCCTTAAAAATCAACTTTTCCATCCCAGATCTGCAGGAATCCCTGAAGCGGTGGAGCTCAGCTTTCTCCTGGTCACTTTGGGGTTTTTTTTTTGGGTTTTCTGCGCAAGAAAACCTTTCTGCTGTCACTGTTTCTGGCTCTGTGTCCCCTCCCACGAGAGCAGGGGATGCCCCAAAACAAGAGGGGTTCAGGGGTGCCCCCTCCATCCCTCCCCTGCTCCAGCAGCGAGCAAAAAGCTGCCCAAGGAACAATATATATATATATATATATTTTTTTTTTTTTTTTTTGCATTCATATATTTCAGGCAGAGAAAGAGCAGAAACGCGAGATAAAAGCAGAGAACAGGGGCTTCCAAAAGAGCTGCTGGCTGGAAAATTCCGCTGCAGGGAAGGGGAAAGGCAGAGCTCTGTGCCCGGAGGAGCCCTGCGAGGGTCACGGTGCCAGAACGGCGACAATCGGCGGTGGCAGCGCGGGGACACGGCGGTCACTGTCTCCCTCTCCTGGCTGGTTCAGAGAAGAAGAGCCCAAACTCCCAAATTTTGCTGGGGATGATGCCCAGGGAGGCCGAGCA